CTTCTTATTGACCAACCAATTTGTTGATGAAAATAATACTCTTTTTAATCTAATGAATTCAAAAAAGTTTCATGCTGATAAACGTAACCAATGGGCCGGGTGAATTAAAATAAGTAATTGCTTTTACTTCATAATTGGTCAGCTTTACATAAATAAAAACTTAAGCAGTTTTGGTCAAATTTTTATTCACATTAAGTCAAGCAATTTACTTAGTAATTGTTGAGCTTTACGTGAATAAAAACCGGCCTAATGTGATATAACAATCATGGAAAATAACATGTTACTGTTGAGGGTATTTCAACTTCAGATTAAAAAATTAGCATTTTGTGTTTTAAAATCTCTATCTCATTAGAGAATAAATGTTACAATAAGTAGTTTACTGAAATTGTGTCAGGAGCTTCTCTCTAAAAAAAGTTTAGCTGTATTTTCACATCTCACTTTAAGCAAAATTATTTAAAAAGTTTGACTGGAACTATTCAGAGCAAAGAAGGTTGTAATGACAAACTTTCAAACAATTTGGATTAGCTTACCTGAATGTTTTGTTGTTGTCATTAGAAACTAGCAGCTTTAAAAACAATTGCCTAAATGAAATAGATTTTAGCATTGTACTGCATATAAATGCTTTATTGAAACATTTACACTAAAAAAACTAACCAAACAAGATTGTTTATTTTTTGCTGACAAAAAATAATCAATTCAACAAGTTTACTGTTACAATTCTTATAAAGAAAACTGTTGTACAAAGCATGCAGATTTTGCTAGCTTGTTAAAAAAGGTGCCTGACTGTGTCAACAGTGTGTGGTAATACTTTGTGGTGAAGCGATGGATATTAGGCATAGTTTAGAGACCAATAAGAAAACAAACCGCCAAAATTATTTACCAAAATCTTTATTTATATCATTCATTTATCTTTTTTTTTTAAACATTATTCATGGAATTTATTAAAAATGGCTCCATGCTAAAAACCTAGATTTTAAATGTTTTTTAAAATCATGGAATTCTGTACTTTTGACATTTTATTTTAAGATTGATTTTAACATTTTTTTTACTTACAATAAAAAAAGTTTGCATACTTGTCATAACAAGAAGTTTTTCTTTTATTCCACTGTACATGATCTATGTCAAAGAAATAGAAAAAAATTTTCAATATTGATAATTATTAAATGATGCCTTTATGTTTTTCTTTTAACAATCAGTTTTAATTTTATGAGTTAATGTGTGTACATACATACATATATACATACATACATACATACATACATACATACATATATACATACATACATACATACATACATACATACATACATACATACATACATACATACATACATACATACATACATACATACATACATACATACATACATACATACATACATACATACATACATACTTACATACATACGTACATACATACATACATACATACATACATACATACATACATACATACATACTATACATACATACGTACATACATACATACATACATACATACATACATACATACATACATACATACATACATACATACATACATACATACATACATACTTACATACATACGTACATACATACATACTTACATACATACATACATACATACATACATACATACATACATACATACATACATACATACATACATACATACATACTTACATACATACATACATACATACATACTTACATACATACGTACATACATACATACATACATACATACATACATACATACTTACATACATACGTACATACATACATACATACATACATACATACATACATACATACATACATACATACATACATACATACATACATACATACATACATACATACATACATACATACATACATACTTACATACATACGTACATACATACATACATACATACATACATACTTACATACATACATACATACATACATACTTACATACATACATACATAAATACATACTTACATACATACGTACATACATACATACATACATACATACATACATACATACATACATACATACATACATACATACATACTTACATACATACGTACATACATACATACATACATACATACATACATACATACATACATACATACATACATACATACATACATACATACATACTTACATACATACGTACATACATACATACATACATACATACATACTTACATACATACATACATACATACATACTTACATACATACGTACATACATACATACTTACATACATACATACATACATACATACATACATACATACATACATACATACATACATACTTACATACATACATACATACATACATACTTACATACATACGTACATACATACATACATACATACATACATACATACATACATACATACATACATACATACATACTTACATACATACGTACATACATACATACATACATACATACATACATACATACATACATACATACATACATACATACTTACATACATACATACATAAATACATAATATTGTTGTTACATACATAATATTGTAGTAATATTGTTGCTTGGACATGATATATTTTATATTACACTGTAATATTGTTATATAAGAAACCTAATTCTAATCAGGAATTTTTTTAAATAATGTCAAAATAGTATAAAAAAAGCAGACTAATTCTATAAATAGTTTACAAAATAAATTTTGAGCAATCAATTTCTGACAGCATTTGGATATTTAAAACAACATATTTTTTTCTTTTAAATGTTATACTACCAGGGCATCTCACAATCCTCTGTAAATAAATTACATGTTTTTATGCGAGTTAACAGTGCTTGGTTATGACAGTTAGTAACTGAAGGCCAATTATGTCACGTAGTTATGTAAAAAGTTTTTACATTTTCTTTTTAATTCATATATATATATATATATATATATATATATATATATATATATATATATATATATATATATATATATATATATATATATATAAAATTAGAATAAACTATCTGGCAATCTTTTTAATAATTTAAAAATTAAAATTAAGGAGAAGATGTTTCAAAACAGTTGTTGAATACTTACAGAAGAATAAAATTGCCATCAATAAAATCCTGTCTATTTTTATGTTGTTCTAAGCATGAATCATTTCCAAAAAGTGTTTATAAAACTATTTAATAGTTTTTTACTGCAATCCACTGAGAAACCATTCTGTGCACAAACATTCAAATAAGAATTTATAAAAGTGAAACATTTAAAAAAAACTAATTTAAATGCAATGAGTCAGGCAACAACATCAGATTTTGCTGTCAATATGTCAATATAATGAGGTATAATAACATCTATCCAACAACATCTGAAGTTTCAGTGGTGTCTAATAACATCTGTGCAAAAATTATATGAATATTTCAGATTTATTTACATCTTTTAAATTTTTTAAGTATAACAACATCTGTGCAACTACATCTGTGGATTCTATATTTGTAGTTACATCTTTATACATTTATATACATATAAAAAATGCAAAATTATATAAAAAGTATTAACTAGTAATGCATTATTTTAACCAGAGGTATTTATGTATATGATTTTTTTCAGATGTAGTTACATTTGAAAAATGATATTTAATAATAATGCATTATTTTACCAGATATTGTTACATATATAATTTTTTTTAGATCTAATTACATCTGGATAAAAGTATAAATTAATAATTCATTATTTTAACCAAATGTAGTTCTTTTATGATGTAACTACATTTATTTTTAACAATAAAATGCTGTTATGGAAACTCATCCAAACCACTTAAGTGTAAAACCATGGACATTAAACGTAAAGAAAAAAAAGGAAAAAAAAAAAGATATCATTCTCCAGGCTTTTCAAAATAAAACTTTTTTTTTTCTACATGTAATACATTTCTAATATACTAAGAAATTTAGAGCTACCAAAAATTTTATTGTATGAATGTAGCTCTTGGAGTTCTGGAGTTAAAATCAGGTGATCTCATTCTGGAGTTATTATAAGCTAGTGTACTGAAATATTTATTATAAGTTTTGTGGTTAGCTAATAACAGTAGCTATTATATGTGGTTAGCAATAACAGCTATCAACATTTATTATGGACTAAATAACTTCTTTACGTCGGTCATTATAGTTATTATTATGGGGTATTCTGGCAGTAAATAGTCTTTTTTAGTTTTTTTTTTTTATGATGCGCTTGTTAAAAAAACTTATCTGATTGATTTTCTGAATTCTCTTGATCTTGCATTTGATAAGATATTTTGAAACTGAACATTATTTTCATTTTTGATTCTTCTTATTCCAACTGGTCAATTGTTTAATTTTAGTTCAATTTCTACTATGCTTGTGATATGAAATAATAAGTTCATAATGGTTATGACAATGGTTTTGTATGGTTGTGACAATTGTTGTGTATGGTTGTAACAATGGTTGTGTATGGTTGTGACTTATCACAACATTATTATCTTTATATTTTTCCAATTGTTTATAACATTTATTATATCTTGTAAATTTCTTTGTTACAATTTGCTTATTATGTTTTTTAATTACAAGCTAAATATTATTTATAATTTATATTCTTAATTACATTTATATTTCTTAATTACAACTTTCATATTTTTAATTACATCTTAGAAAGATTGTAGCAATTTAAATTGGTATAGAAGATTGTAGTGATTTTTATTTTTGCTTTCATATTTATTTTTGACTTTTTAAGTCAAACATAAATATGCTGTTTAATTAAACAAAATTTTATTACAAAATTTTAAAACTACAGAAAATTGAAAACTCGAGTAAAACAAAGATATTGTTTAAGTTTTTTTCAATTAAAACATTGTTTTAACTTGTGTATTTTAGAGCATATTCATCCTTATAGCTCAAACCTTCCAAGTATACAAAAAAACCATTCCCATACACTATTGTTGCCTTTAATGAACCATTTTTATGTAATTATGTTAATAGTTTAAGCATACTAGTGGATATAATTAGAATTTTTTATTCAAGGTTTATGCCACAAAATTAGTTTCACATTTAAGTACTCTTGTTGAAGATGGATTTGAAGATTTACGTGTTCTTCAAACAGTGATAGTTTTATTAACGACCTCTGATGTTGTTCAAAAAGATTCACTTGCACAGGTATTTTCAATATTTTTTGTTTGTTTTAAATTTATATATATAATTTAATTTTTTTTAATGGTAAGGTACTCCATCAACTACAGTCATAAACTTTTTAATTGTCCTTACAAAACTCTTATTCAACTATTTAACTTTAAAATATAAACCTTGGCTTACAAGGCTGTTATGTGGAGAGTGCTGTATTACTAAGTATGTGGTGGGGATCAAACAATGAGCTTCTTGTGTACAAAGCAAGCACTCTACTGTTCATGAATTTATAAATTATAAATATATAAATTATAAATTTCTATTTAATAAGTGTTATTGTTATAATAATAATGAAAATAATAGTAGTAAAGATAATTATAGTAATTACTAATATTATTATTATATAAATATAACAGTTATGTTATTACAATTATTATTATTGTTACTACTATTATTATTGTCATCATCATTATTATTATTATAGATTTTTATTAAAAACCATAATCTGTGGGGTGTTTTGTCCACATAATGGTGTAAGGTTTGGGTTTGGGCAGGTATTGTTTAGATATGAAGGACTTTTATTATTAAAAATAAAATTTGTTTTATTATTTTTTACTTTTTTTCTTTTAGAAAAAATATTTAGGAATAAGTTGGTGTTTTAAAACTTAAAGTTTAACCCAAATATATGAGAAATGTGTTTACCTAATCTGTAAAAGTTAGTGTGTGCGTGTGTGTATATACATATATATATATATATATATATATATATATATATATATATATATATATATATATATATATATATATATATACATATATATATATATATATATATATATATATGTATATATATATATATATATATATATATATATATATATATATATATATATATATATATATATATATATATATATATATATATATATATATATATATATATATATATATTAGGGTGATGCAAAATTTGTAGGTTCAAAACTTTAGTTGTCCTCAAGCTTGCCCTTGTTCTATATGACAATAGTAGTTATTGGCCAAAATTTGAATCAAATCGGATGATATTTAGGGGTTGCCATGTTTTGTCACATTTTGGTATAAGGTTACAAAAAGTAAAAAAAATATTTTTTATTTTTACATTTTTTATATTATATTACTGAATTATTTATTATCAATTTCTTATTATTATGTGGTGGATTGTGGATGTTCAATGTTAAAAAAATCAACACTATAGTACTACTATGTAATTGCACTAGGCAATAATAAATCAATCATCTTCATCATTCAACAGTCATCTTCATCAGGGTAGACTTCTAAGAAGAAACTGCTTTTGGTTTTCATCTTTCGTAACGCTTGAGTTAAAGGATGTTATAAGTGCTATGCCTCGTTCCGCGCAATCGTTGGCGACTTTCATTTGACCAACCTTGTGCTTTATTTCAAGATATGTTGAATCCATTTCCCACTCTGAAGATTCTTTCATGAAAAGTGATTCAGCTTTTTCTTTTCCATTTTTCAAAATTAGATCGAAAAGTTCTGTGGTGCGTTGCGTGACGAAGGAAGGCAATGGGCTGTGACAATCGAATGTGGCAGCATCAAGTCTTTTGAGAGATTTCTGCCTTGGCTGTTGTTTCAGGTTGTTTGCCATGTCTCTCTTGGTGTTGTTGTCGACACGGGAATCGAAGAAAGCCAATCCTATTAGATGTTCAGAAAAATACCAGAGGTGGCGATGAAAAGCTTTTGCTGCATTAATTGCAATTGTACGATTTGGATATTCTTGAATTCGTTGAAGAAGCTTGGCATCATTGAATGTTGCTCGTTCAGCTAACGGAGCTTCATTCCAAAACTGTCCGTATACAAATGCCACAAAAAGACTTATATCTGTTATTCCTTTCTTTTCCTTTGCAGTAATAACAAATTGATCCTGAAACAAATATATCTTTATACAATATATAGCTTTTGCCATCCAACGTGCATTGTGTGTTGCACCTGGAGCCCGAAACTTCACTTTGAACTCCGATGTTGTAGTTGATCCTCCAAGAAAAATAAGGCACAAATTCAAGAGTTCTAAGTAATCATCCCTGGGTTGTTGACCTTTAATTGCTTCACTATAATATACTACCATTTCTTCACGGAGTTTGAGAAAAAAATCGCAGTTGTAAAATTCTTTATTCCCTATAGTGAACACCTCCTTGTTGATTGCTGGCCATTGTTTCTGGAAACGGTTAAAAATTCCAACTTCAGGTCCTCCACTGGTTCCAAATGCAGTCGTGAAAATGGTGGAAAGCATGACTTCAAACATATGGTGCCTGCATGCTATCCATATAAGATTACGGTCAAGATTCTGCTCCATTATTGTGCAGGCACCAATGTTCAACCCAGTGTTAGATGAAGTAGTGTCAAAAAC